TTTTTATATTTTTCAATAAATTTATTTTGTTTGTACAAAATAAAAAAATAATTTTTAACGATACAATAGTCTTCGTTAGGCTTAACATCGATGAAAATTCAACGCGAAGCGACACACAACGGAGAGAAATTTCAACATGGGATAAATTAATATATTTTTTCGTACATGATTCGTTATCCGAAAAATAAGTTATCCGAACCACCCCAGTCCCCAATTGATTCGGATAAACGACGCTCTACTGTATTTATATAATTAAACAACGTTTGACAAGAATTTAACAATAATTAGATATGCAATTATTAAAAATTCAGACAAATTCATATTGTTGTCTCTGTAAGAACTTGTTCTAATTACCAACACGTTGCTACTCAGAATGGGATTGAAATCGTGGTGGAGTCGTACGTCAAAGGTCTTTGGTAGATACAAGAAGTAAGATTATTTCTTCAAAAATATTATGTTTTTATTGATATTTTTTAATTTAATATTAAGTTATACAATTTTTTAATTTCGTAAAGAAAATAAAAATTGTTATGTATTAAAACTCATTACTGCTTCGAACTATTTTCTCGATTAACAAACATTTCCAGAAAGAAATTTTTGTTATATACAAAATTCGAAAAAAAGAAATTGCTAGTTACAAATACGTAAAAAATGTATGATTAATTTAGCTTAAATTAAATGCTCATTTCTAGAAAATCCGGTAATTTCTTTAATAAAACGCAGAAGATTGGTTACAATAATTTCATCGAAACATTTAACTCTGTTTATGACTCAAAAATCAATCCAGAAAATGCGAATTATTTTAAAATGCAATGGACTAATAAAGACCAAAATATAAAATGTGAAGGAATAAAACAAACCGAAAAGATTATCCAAATAGTAATTGATGCTACTCCTACAATTGATTCTGCAATGATTCAATTACTGGTAACTGATGGTTCCTCGACCATTTCGAGAAAATTTGAAAAAAATATTATCCGTTTAGAAAAATTTCTCGAAAATAATGAAATTGTTGAGAAAAATTACAATGCAGAAACTATAGAAATTATTAATATGGGATCGGAATTATCTGAAATCGATCCAACTTCAACAGAATCTGAATCATGCAAAGAAGAAAACTGCGATGAACTGAATTCAAAATTGTCTAAGAAAAGTGAAGAATCAGAAAGTGACTTGAACAGAAAAAATACAGATTTGAGAAATATTATTGAAAAGAATGATACTGAAATAAAGCAAAGTTCCAGATCTAATAGTATTGAAAAAGTAGAGAAGAAAATACAAGTTTCAAATATAATAAAGGTAAAAATATAAACGAAGTCTTCAATAACCTTGTCATTTTTAAGATATAATATTTATACTGTAATGCGCTCTTCTCTAAATTAAAATAAATATTAGCTTAATACTAGCTTTCTGTAGATAGACTTATTACACCGTTAAGAATACAGACAAGCTATGAAGTACGGTACAGAACATCACTTTATTAACATTTCTTCTAATTGATACGCATTTCGGACACAGTCTCTCAGCCAACTTGTTATATCAGTAGCAATAATAAAATTAGAAAACATTAATTTTAATTACACACAGTATCATAAATTAGTGTAGCAATACATGTAACATACCACTAAATTTACATAAACCACCATATATAAACAATATTTAAGTTATCCTTCTATTTTGTTGAAAATAGTCCACGAATATAGAAATTGGTACATGCTGACTGTGGCAACATATTATAATCAATATAAAACTGAATTACCAAATTCTTTCCAACTTATAAGAAATATAGGACTAATATTCTTACATTATCCACAAATCACTTCAAGGATAATTTTCAAAGGTACAATTAAGATAATAAGACGGCAAACATGGTACAGTCCCAAAATTACATTAAAATACATACATGTAAGGCATGGCTACATTACCACATTATCATATGTAAGTAATTGGTATAACAAGTGATGTACTGACTTCGTAGCTTGTCTGTATTTTTAACGGTATAACAAGTCTAGCTATAGAAAGCTATTATTAAGCTTATAGTTAATATTATAAAATTTAATTAAATTTAAACTTTGATTTTATGTAAATTTTGTGTATTATTATTTTATTTTAGAATCGAACTATACTTGAATCAGAAAATCATAATAAAAGCTGCGAAGAAAATATTAATATTTTGCAAAAAGAAACAATAAATCCATCACCAATAAATGAAGATGTATGGAATCAAAATTATTTAGGAAGTTGCAGAAATGAAGAGACTATATCTGATTTCAAGTCATTTTTAGAACTGCTAACGGAGCCGAATAATTTTGAAATATCGCCAGCAAATAGCGAATAAAATGTTTAAATAAATAGTAAAAATAATTTCAATTTAAGCATGCTCTAAAGTTTATAGAACTGATATTTAATGGTAGTAATTTATCAGAATGGAAAAATTGCTTTACAAATAAATAAATAAATAAAATGTTATTTAAAATAATTCTTGCAATACTTGATCAATTTTATAACTTTATCTATTGAAATTATAAAATAAACAGTTTAGAATATTCATCATGATAATTTAATCACTGTGCATTATAAAGTTTCCTTTTATGGAAAAAATGGCTCACCAGTGGCCGAGTATATAAGAAACTAAACATTCATCACAGGTTCGGTTTGGTTTGGTTTGGTTGGTTTGAGTTATGGCAACGCAACACTTGGGCGATTTGCCTAGGGAGGATGCCTTCAGGGAAGTCTTTTTAAAGGAAACTGGCCCCTATTTAGGCGTTACAGACGTGGAGAAAACTTGAAAAACTCCACGTGACCAGCCCGTCCGAGCGAAGCGCGAACCCACGACCGAACTCCCAGTGTTCAGGTTACGAAGACCGCTTGGCCACTGGTGGGCTCCTCTCAGGTTCGGGTCTCTCCTAAGGGCTGACCACGTGGAGTTTTTCTTGTTTTCTTCACGCGTTTAACACCAAAATAGGGGGCCAGTTTACCATAGAAAGTCCTTTCGGGAGGCACCCCTCCATTGGCAGATCGCCCAAGTATTGCGTTGCTTATTCCATCAAGCTAATCCAATCGGATTTTAAAAACGTATGCAAATAAGTGTTATCAATTGGATAAGCTGGTTGATATCCGATGTCCTACTAATCTGCTTCACTTTGTTGAAAAATTTTGTATTTTTTCTGTTAATTTTTTTTACATTAAACTTATTCAGTAGAAACTTTAAAATTTTTCCGTTCTTCTTCCATTAAAATTTCAATGACGTGACACCATTTATGTTAATAAGAAATTTAAATTTCGAAACTAGACATGATTCGTTTATTTTTGCATCTACTTTTTACTTTTATGGCTGTTATACAGGGTGATGCACTGGTGGCGTTTAGTAGTTTTTTCTCCAGAAACCTTTATAGATAGGAAGATTGGACCAATAACGAAGTTTATAGATTATAGAACAGACAAAAGGGCAAATTTGGTGACCTTGGATGACCTCGAAAATTAACGATTTTTTTTAATACAAAGAAATAGAGTGGGTTTTAATTATAAAGGGTGCTTTTCACCCATTATATGGATAGTACGTGACAAAAAAACACCTTTTATAATAGGTCAAATTTTCTTAAACTTAACGGTTTTGAAGATATCAGCCAATTTCTTCTAAAAATCTGATCTCGCCAAAAGAAGCACAATTTCAGGCTAGATTTGGCTTCTATTTTTACGAATATATCGACTTCTTGATGTGTGAAAACATTATTTTTGTTCCACGGTGCAAATATATATAGCCTTAATATTTTCCAATTATTTCCTGTCCAATTTTTTATCCTTCAACTTCGGGGGAATATATAGCCTATATATATGCGTGTAATATAGATATACTGTATCATTATATATATATACGTATTATGTAAATATTTTAAATCATTAAAAATGTAATAAATTTCATCTATTTAATACAAAGATACAATTGACAATTGATTGTAAATAACTATAAAAACCGCCGCCATTTTCTGAGAAAAGACTAGTTAACAAAATAAAATAAAATTTGATAATTACAAAAGATAATTACAAAAGATAAAATTTGATAATTATTAACCTTGTGGTCTAAGGAATAGAGGCAAACTTTTGAAAAAAGAGGGGACGAGATTAATGAAATGAACAAATTTCTTACAATTAAATTCTTCCTTTCTTTCTCTCTCTTCACTAATAGGTCAGCTTTTTTTTACCGTAGTTTTCGATACAAAATGCCTCATATATTTTTATATCGAAAACTACAAATAAAAAACAAAAAATACAATCGCCCAACGTGGGGCTCGAACCCACGACCCTGAGATTAAGAGTCTCATGCTCTACCGACTGAGCTAGCCGGGCTTGGAGTAAGGTATTTCTTACAACCCATTTCAATTAATATTCTAATTGAAATGGATTCTAAGAAGTATATTAATACTTTATATCTCAAATAATAATCATTTCTATTATTTAAAATTTTAAAATATTTATTCTAAGTGTTCGATTATGTTTATGTATGACGTCAAAAAATCAGTATTACATCATACAAAATATATTATGAATATTATGTGACGCATGCGTGTGTTATTCCATTTGAATTTTGTTTACAAATCGTGTGATGAGGTAACATTGCTGATCGGGGAAAAACACAACTGCACTCTTTCAAATGAAGAAATTGCTTCAATGGAAGAAAACTATCAAAGGAGAAAAAGAAAAGAAAAGAAATTCTTTATCTTATAACGAAAATGATGTTTATTTAATTGACTTAAAGCATAATGAAAGCAATTTGTCAAAATTACATCAAGCTTGCTGGACGGGAGATGAGGATAAAGTGAAAAAACATTTAAAGAGATGTGACATTAATTTACAAGATGATGATAACAGGTGAGGATGGAGGCACTTTAATTTTTAATGAAGAGTATTAGAATTATCAAGATATGTTGTACTTAGTTACATTTAAAAAATTGAATATTTTAACAGGATACTTTTATTTAAACAATTCTTTTTTTTATATATAAAATATAATTTATATTTTTTGAAAATTTAATCCAACATTCCTAATTATCTTTAAGTATTATAATTTATTCACAAAAATAAATAATGTATGTAATATAGCATGTAATGTGCATATTTTCCAAAATATAATAGTTATTGTAATAGTGTGCAAATAAAATAAAAAAATTTTTAATTACATATATATGTTTTTAATAATAAAAATAGAAATGGATTTATTGATATTATAGAGTTATATATATATTGTAGCTATTTATGTTAATGTTGAATGTCAAGAAAATGAAATGAAATATTTTTATATTTTAGAAAATCATTTTCCTATACAATTCTAAAATAAATGAAATCTTAATATTTCAGAGATTTATCAGAATCTAACACAAAAAATACAATATTTTGTTTCGTCTATAGATATATTTTTTTTTTGTTAAAAAGAAGAATGCAGTATTTTAAATTTAACATAATTAAAGTATTGTTTCAATTAAAAGATATCATTTTTGTATATTTCGGAATGACTGTGAGTGCCATTGTTGCTATTCGAATAAATAAATAATATTGTATATTTTATACATAAATCAACATCTACAAACCTAATGTACAGTACATATGTAATAAGCGAACAACTACAGGATTATATTGAGCTGTTATATCACAATTATTTTAAATTCCAGAATTTTCTAAATAATTTAATTATAATTATTAAATCTAATAAGAGATGGTGCATAATGCCCCTCTCTAGTGACAAATAATTTAGTAATTAATTTAAAATAATTGTGATATAATAGTCTTATATAATCTGGTAGTTTTTGGCTTATCATACTTTTTATCTTACAAATATTTCATATAAAGAGCAAAATTGAAAATATTGTTTTGATATTTGTTGAATGTTTTTTGATTTATCAAGGTATTATGACAGTGCAGTTTATTATAATAGTTTAATAGTTGAAAGCAAAACACATTGCATTTTATATTCAGGATGTAATAATATTTTATTTTTTAATTAAACAATATAATATAAAAAAAGAACAATTTAAAATCACACCTAATAAAGTATCCAATATACATTATGTAAATATATACATACAAACACTAAGAAAGAAATATTAAAATATACAAATATAAATATTATAGACATGATCAGGACTTTAGAGAGTTATTGTGAACTCTGAAACAAGTGTCTCTGACATAATATTTTCAGTTTATCACATTTTTTCTTTTCCTCTTTATGCACTTGAAATTATAAAAATTGATCTGTTAGACTTCATAATTAAAATTTCATACAGATTTTTGGCTCAGTCTTATACAGGGCTAGGTCCATGAATACAACCCGTGCTTGATCTTCCTCTTGTTGGTCCCAGATATGACTTCCAGTGAAAGGTTATAATTTTAATCAGAAATTAACGAAGACAACTTTCATATTTTTAGGTAGTCTGAACTTTTTACTTTTACCACAAAACAGTACACAGAATTAATAAATATATGTACTAAATTAATATTAAATAAATGAACATTATTGAAAAAATTACCCTTATCATCAGTTATCTAAAGTCAGTTTTACAATAACAAAAGTACTTGTATGTAAAAGAAAATAAGCTTCTATTAGAATAAATTAAAAATTTATTTAATTTTTTCTATATTATATTGATAAAATAAAAAAAAAATTCTAGAAGTAATCATCTACATATTTGTTTTTTTAAGTAAAATTCTGAAAATTTATCAGCATCAAAATTTTATTTTTAGTTTCAGACAATGATTTGCATTTTTTACAAGTCATAAAACAGTGTATGAAAATGTGTTATGAAATGTCATTTATTTATTTTCTGTAACATAAGTATAATAAAATATTAGTTTTAAAATGTTATTTATAAAATAAATATTTAACTTAGAAAAACTATTTTTTATTGCTGTATTTGCTTTAAATGGTATAAAACAATTTGTTTCAAACAAAACAAACCAAGTACATTAATGTTAGATAAAATGTGCTACTACTGATATGATGATTCATAACAGTAGATCAGGTTTCAACTATAGCCTAATAAATTTCTTTTGATTATACATGTATAATCTGTTATAAAATTGTTTATAAAGATATTAATTTTTATAGATATTTTAAATTAAAAATTATAAATTAATGAAAACTATTCAAATAATATGAAGTTACAGTATTTATTATTTTAATTATTTTTATGTATATAAAGTTTTCTAAAAACAAATTTTTAATTATTTTTATTTTTATTAAATATTACATTTATTAAAGTTAAATATTTTTTAAAATTTCAAAATATTGACAATATTATTAGGAAGAAATGCTAAATTCAGGAACCATATCTTATGACATAGACAGGAACCATATCTATGTCAAAACAAATGTTTGACACAATGTTTGTTTTGGTTGCTGAATTTAGCATTTTTTCTTAATTTTCATAATTTTCAATATGGTGCCAAATACAAATGTTTTTTTGTCATTGACAATAGCATTTTTCATTACTTTTTCTAGCTAATAAAAATAAAATATGCACATAGTTTATGTACCTATTTTATTTTAAGAATGTGTATTATTTTGCACAAGATTTTCAAATTTATAAACATTTATAAAATACAAAATTTATACAAATACAAATAAACTAACATTATACATATAAAAATAAAATTTCAGTTTAATACAGTATTTTACTTAAAATTTTCATTCTAGAAACTTTGTTTTATACAAATAATACATTAGGTATAGTAGTGTAACCAGGAAGAGACCTCCTTAGCTTTTTAAATAAATAAATAAAGAAAAAAGTCAAATAAATACAGGAAAAAGATTTGAATGCAACAAATGCACTGATACACATGTATATACAATATCTAAGAGGTTGCTCTTCACCCGTAGTTCTAGTTGCCATATCCAGGGCCAGATGCAATAGGTGCGAGACCCGATTGAATTTTTTTTGTGGGCCCCTCAAAACTTTAAATAACAAAATTAATTAACAGTTAATTTACAGATTTTAAATATTTATTTAAAACAAAATCCAAAATCTAATTATAAAAATCAAAAGTCATGAACCATAAGGTAGACAAATTTCTACATTAAAAAACCTGTACCAAATATAAATACAACTATATTTTATTGAATATAAACATACATAGATATGTTTTAGTATTTCTATATTTTTAAATGAATATAACTACTTAAATTTTTGCCATAAAAAATCTTTTGATTTGTTGATGAATGAATATAACTGAATTTTATTGAATATAAACCTATAAAGAGATGTTTTATTATGTTCTGAAGTTTTTGTTCTGTAAAATCTTCTAAAATAGTATCAAAATCCAACTGGCTTGCTTCTTGACTCTCAATGGACATGGTCGCTAAACTGTTTAATCTATTCTATAATTTGAAACTATATTTAAATATATAAATTTTGATGTACTGCGGGGCTCCTTCAAGTGCGAGGCCCGATTGGCGCATATCGCTCCAATCACCTCAAATCCGGCCCTGGTTATATCCATAATGGGCAGGGTGAATTTAGGCTTGGACATTCTAATGTGTCTTCCCTAATGTCAGTTCTAGTTATACTGCTGATTAGGTAAATCAAAAAATATTTATAGTATTTTTCTATTATTTGAAAACTGAAGAATATATTTTTTTATCATTGTATTCAATTTGAAGAAATTCATGTAAAACAATATTCTTGTAGTTCTAGAAACATTAAGATGTAAGAAGTTTTTATTTAAGTATAGAGTGTTTATTTACTACCTGTGTTATTTGTAGTCTTTGTCTATTGAAGATTCTACCACTTCTTCAATACACTAGATTTCCCATGACTACTTACTTAATTTAAATTACTTAATTTATAAGAATTTTTTGTAAATAATATATATAATAGTTATATATANTAAAAACTATATTACTTTCATGAGAGGAGTTCTTCCTTGACTATCTTGTATATTAACCTTAGCATTGTTTTCTAACAAAGTCATAAGTACATTTTTATGCCCTCTGGCAGCAGCCAAATGAACAGGAGTTCTAAAGAAAAGAAATATACTGTAATTATGAGTTTACATTTTTAATTTTGATGATTTTCTATTTAATTTATAAATCAAATGCACATAGAAAATATGTAAAAATAAATTTACATGAACAGAACAGAATGAATGTGAACAGAAGAATCAATCAAGGGATATAAAATTATATAAATAAAGAAATTATCATTTCATTGTCAACATTCTGCATTTTGATTTTTATGATTAGATACATTTAATGCTTATGAAATCTATTGATATACCTTTCTATAGTATAGAAACAATTTTTTTCTGCATTGAGTATCAACAAATGATTGATATGTCCCAAAAGTTCATATTTTTAACAGAGATAATATGCAATTGATATGCAAATTAATTGAATGAAATACAATAGCAATGGATGCAATGTTTCCACTGTTAATCACCATTTTCACATTTTCTAAAAGTTTTAAAGAAATGGTAATAACAATCTGAAGTGGCAAAAGGATGGGTTGCTACAGGGGAAGAAACTGCCCATGTGCATTGGAGCAATGAGGAAAAAAGCTTAGAATGAGATTTTTCTGATATATTTACTTTTGTATTATAATTCATTCATGAGATTGTATGAGATACTTATAGATATACAGTAAGTGATGGGAGTTCATGTTTGCATCGACTGTGGGTGCATTGCTTGCCTTTGCACCAGATGTGACAGACCTCATTCTCTTACTACCCTTTCCATCCCCTCTTTCCAACATTACTAAATTAATATTATAAATGTATACTTGCTTACTGGAGAATAAATTCAATAAAAATAAAAACCATTCAAGTATCCAGCGTAATTCTTTAATAACATAAAAACGTTTTCAAACGCATTAAGCGTTCATCATCAGTTATTTCTCTAATTCAAAATGGGAAATTCAAAAAATTACACAAACGAATTTCAAATAAATGGTTATAACATGTTACCTTTTAATTTTTTACATAACAGTTTATTTGAAATTCGTTTGTGTAATTTTTCAAATTTCCCATTTCGAATTAGAGAAATAACTGATGATGAATGCTTAATGCATTTGAAAATGTTTTTATGTTATTAAAGAATTATGCTAGATACTTGAATGGTTTTTATTTTTATTGAATTTATTCTCCAGTAAGCAAGTATACATTTATAATATTAATTTAGTAATGTTGGAAAGAGGGGATGGAAAGGGTAGTAAGAGAATGAGGTCTGTCACATCTGGTGCAAAGGCAAGCAATGCACCCACAGTCGATGCAAACATGAACTCCCATCACTTACTGTATATCTATAAGTATCTCATACAATCTCATGAATGAATTATAATACAAAAGTAAATATATCAGAAAAATCTCATTCTAAGCTTTTTTCCTCATTGCTCCAATGCACATGGGCAGTTTCTTCCCCTGTAGCAACCCATCCTTTTGCCACTTCAGATTGTTATTACCATTTCTTTAAAACTTTTAGAAAATGTGAAAATGGTGATTAACAGTGGAAACATTGCATCCATTGCTATTGTATTTCATTCAATTAATTTGCATATCAATTGCATATTATCTCTGTTAAAAATATGAACTTTTGGGACATATCAATCATTTGTTGATACTCAATGCAGAAAAAAATTGTTTCTATACTATAGAAAGGTATATCAATAGATTTCATAAGCATTAAATGTATCTAATCATAAAAATCAAAATGCAGAATGTTGACAATGAAATGATAATTTCTTTATTTATATAATTTTATATCCCTTGATTGATTCTTCTGTTCACATTCATTCTGTTCTGTTCATGTAAATTTATTTTTACATATTTTCTATGTGCATTTGATTTATAAATTAAATAGAAAATCATCAAAATTAAAAATGTAAACTCATAATTACAGTATATTTCTTTTCTTTAGAACTCCTGTTCATTTGGCTGCTGCCAGAGGGCATAAAAATGTACTTATGACTTTGTTAGAAAACAATGCTAAGGTTAATATACAAGATAGTCAAGGAAGAACTCCTCTCATGAAAGTAATATAGTTTTTAATTACAATTATTATTATTATTATTAGTATTAGTAAAAGTAGTAGTAAAAACAGTAGTAAAATTAGTAATAGTACTATTTATTTATAAATTTCTAATTTGTATAATTTTTTACAATATAATTCATTAACTGAATTTATTATTTTCAGATCGTAGAATGTGGCCATATAGATTTAGTTGTAATGCTTTTGGAATATGGAGTTGACATTAACATTCCTGATTATCATGGAGATACTGCATTACATATTTCTATAGACAAGGAACAAAGTGCCATAACAATGATTTTATTACAGCATAAAGCTGAAGTTAATGTTAGGAATGATGTAAGTAATTTAAAAATTAACAAAATTCTGGTGAGTATTTTTAATTAATATATTTAAAATGTTTTAAATTTAGGATGGAAAAACACCATTACATCTTGCTTGCTGCAAAAAGCAGCTAGATGTTGTTAAAATCCTTCTTCAAAGAGGAGCTGATGTTAATGAAACAGATAAAAAATTACAGTAAGACATTAAATTTTCAAATAATATAAATAAATAAGTTTATATTATTTTAACAATTAAATGATCATCATTTAAAGTACTTTTTGCATATAAAGTTTCAGAAAAACTTATTTAATTACACTTAAAATAATAAAGCTTGTGAATAACTATAATTTGATGATGTTTTGTTAATTTACAAAACTATTATACAGGACTCCCCTTATATTGGCTTGCAAAGCCGAATCATCTGCAATAATTTCGCTTCTTTTAAAAAATAATGCCAAATGTTTATTAACTGATTTTACTGGTCAGTCAGCTCTTGATTATGCCTACACTACAGGAAATTCTGAAATAATTGATATACTTAATCAATATAAAACTGAAGAAGCATGTACTACAGATAGTCAAGGTAATTTTTCTGTCTTTGTGTAAATTTATAAAGTATTTTGATAAAATGTTAATTTATGATTCTCAATATGTTTCTAGTTACAACATTTTATTCATAATTCTTTCATTTAAAACTTATTTGTTGTATTAAAGATTTCAGAAAATTTACTTTTTTTACTTATGATACTTTTTCTGTAGAGTGGTTGCACTACATATAATAATAATAATAATAATAACTCTCTCATGGTCACCACCTGGTCGTGGTGGGAGAGCCCAGTAATTTTACTGAACCATAGGGCAATGCAGGCTGGAGCACAAGCTTCTGGTAGGGACACACATGCCAGTAAGGTCTATGGGGAGAAATGAAGCTAAGAGTGACCACACACCCACATTCTGTGGAGATAATTATCATGGTAGTAACCAGATCTAAGTATGGTACTGGCTCGGACGTCGCCCGGGTTAACAAGGTCTGCGTTCGTGGGTTAGGCAGAGGCTCACGTTCGAAAAATAGGCTCCAGTCTCCCTTGGTTACCAGTGGCAAAAGCAGCACCGGCCCAAGTATGGCTACTGCAATGCCCTCAACAGATGTGAGGAACCAACCTAGACTTGGTGTTTCTGTGGCAATGCATCCACAGACCACAAAGGCTTCTGACTTCTGAGAAAAGAGATTAGAGAGCTGTCCGTCTTTTAAGCGACGTACTTAGCCCTTGGAAGTAGGAAAGAAGAGAAAGCATGAGATGTGAAGTGTGAAAAGAAAGAAAGATAGGATAGTGTGAAAGAAGGCATGGGACTCGTGGCGTCTGCATCGGCATTTTTTGAACAAAATAATACAATATATACAATTATAATACAGCTGGAGTCTTTCCAGAGTTTAAGTCCCGACAATGTTTACAATAACTTATATTATGTAAGAAATTAGAATTGCTGATTACATAAGCCCTTGAGGGTTAACAATAATAATTGGAGCAGCGCGGGAATGGGACTATCAATGGTAGTCCTTTCTGCTCCAAATCAAGTGAATGTGGCAAGCATGGCAAGTTGGACTGGTACTTACAGTCTCAACTGCCAAGCAAGGAAAAGAGTATAATTTCAAAGTTTCTTCTCGAAGGATTATTACAATGGTGGGAGACCTTGTAGAATAATTTTAAGCCAATTGGTTAAATTGAAATAATAAAAATATTTACAAGTGACTCATTGCCTTGTTTTGCGTGACCATATACTTCCATGTAGTTTTGTTTCAACGTCCGCTTTCACGCAGAAGTCTCACTCTCTACTCCCCTTTCTTCACCTGTTGTAGTCTGAATTCCTGTATCACTTTCATCATCCTCCCTTCTGATGATGTCTTCCTCTTCTTCTGAGTTGTCAGTCATGTGTTCTTTGTTGTCACTATTTTGTCTGTCATCCTTTTGATGTTTGTTTTTGTGGTTAATTTCAATAAGCACCTTAGTGTCGTTTATATATTTTTCCAAAGCTTTAAACAGGTTTTTATCTGTTACTAGATCAGTGTCTCTCGGGGGCCAATTATGGCCTGCACGTAAGCATTTTTCTATAAAGGTCTCTCGTTGATTATTAAATTTGGTGCATTCCATTAAATNACACTACAGAAGGCCACTATATTGAATACATGTCATATTGTTAGGAAATTCCTGAATACAGACACAGACACTGACACACACATATAATTTTAGTTTTGTTTTGGTTGCTATGCCTTGACTCTGGTCCGGCATAGTACACAGCCACCGGTGTAAACCGAGTATAACCCACTAAACCCAACACAATAATAATAATAATAATAATGCTTTATTTGGCGTAAAAGGCTTTTGCCTGTTACAAGGGCGTTTTATTTTAAAAATGCGTATTAACATCTTATATAATCATGTCTTAACAACACTGATATATTTTATTTACTGATCTATAGAATTACATTAATATTTTGTCACAATTATCATTTAATAAATTGTTTAACATAGTTATATAACATATAAATCGTGTTAGTATTAGCTCTGTCAAAAGTCTTATACATTTCCATCTCATTATTACAGTTAGCCAGTTTCTTGTACGTTAAGAAACATTTTCTTGTACGTTAAGAAAACATTTTTTATTAAATAAAAAATTAATCAGATGTAACATTTTAGATTTTTATTATATAAATTTTGTTCATTTAGTTATATTTTGTCAATTTTCAATGAAATTAGAAAAGTATCTTGATATGGCTCAAATTTGGAGCCTTTGTAGTTTATCCTTTTCATTACAGCATATATTTATCATTTATAATTATTCCATTTTTATTTAACCTAATCTGTATAAAAAAACTTTTTGATGTTAAAAGCTAGATTTGTCAATATATAGTTATTATTTACTGGGTAATTTAAAATTGTTGCATACCAGCTTGTGTTTTCCTGTTTTCGTATATCTTCAATGTCTTGAACAATGGAGAGCTCCATAGCTCTTGCACTACATATATGTATGTATATATATATATATATATATAAACATAACAGAACATTTATTTAATAATCCTAAATTCAAGTAATTAAAAATATAAAATAATATAAAATAGAAATATTTTGTTTATGAATGAGGAAATGTTAAAATTTTTTAAATACATAAATGGATATATTTTTATAGTTTTAAACATTTTCTTGTACGTTAAGAAAACATTTTTTATTAAATAAAAAATTAATCAGATGTAACATTTTAGATTTTTATTATATAAATTTTGTTCATTTAGTTATATTTTGTCAATTTTCAATGAAATTAGAAAAGTATCTTGATATGGCTCAAATTTGGCTAATTTTCAAACATCACACCTTGTAGGTCAAGTGATAAAAACTGAGTCAGAGATCACATCCAAAACATATATGCTTTTATTGACATTAGAAATGCATTTTGGACTTATATGGTCCCTCATCATTCCAACCATCTTGCATAGATGACTATTGGCAGAATTTCTGGTGTATATTTTTTGGATCTGATCTTTGACTGTTTTCATCATTTGACCTACAAGGTGTGATAAATCTAAAAATTAATCAAATTCAGGCCATATCAAGACACATTAATCACAGACAACAAGCAAAACTAATTAGAAAAGGAGTTGATTCATTTTATTTTTATGTTGGTAAAACAAATCATACAGTTTTGTATTTGAAATTGTGCTTTTATCTTGATCTCTATTGAGAATAATTATATATTACTTAAGATTATTTATAATTATTTATGGAATAATAACAATACATAAGACTTAAAATAATCTGTTCATATTATTAAATTTTTAAAAAATACATTAATCTGTATTGTGTTAAAATTTATTTCATATATAAAATTTATACATATATATAATGTATATGTCTATGTTGTTTTTAAATTTAGGTGTAAATGAACATGATGTACAAAAGGAAGAGAATATTGAAGATTCCTGGAAAGATGTTGATATTTCAACAAAAGTAAGATAATTTTTAAATTATTTTCTCTGAAAAATAAAATTAAACTTGTTTAAAATAAATTAATTAGAATTAAAAATGGTGTTGGACACATCAAATTTTTTTTACTATGAGTGTTATTAAATATTAAACTTGTTTTTTTTAATACTTTCTACATATTTATAAATAAATTATTCTGTTTTTTTATCTATTGATTCAAGATACAAAGAGTGGTTTTTTTCCTGTTACAAGAAAGGCTATAAAATTTACAAAATTATAATTACAAAAACAAATTAAATAAACATTATAAAGATTTGGTCAAGTATTAAAAATTAGTTTTACAATTTATACAATTTGCTTTTAGTCATATTAGCAAAACAACTTCTGTAATTATTCATTGAAAATTATGAAATATTACTGTTAATCCAAATAACTCATAACGGAAGTAGTTTATTACATTCATAACATTTTATTTTATATCGAGAATATTAATTAACACATCTATAGATAATTATATCTAATAATAATGATGATAAAATAGAATTGAAATGCTCAATTAATTGCCTTCTGTTATTTAACAAAACAAATTTATTTATGGTTAAAATTATCTATGTTGAAATTTAATTTCTTGATATATCAGGTTTGTATATTCTCAGTTATATAAACAGATAAGATAAACAATTAAGCATTGTACTAAAAGTTTTTTATATGAAATTTTAATAAAGACATACAGTATTTGAGCAAATATAACATTGGCATTAATTGACAATCAATGTGCTTTGTACTGTATATTATTAATTAAAAGTTAAAATTTGTGTACTTATGTGAATTTGGGTTAATTTTTTAAATATCTAATATATTGAATTGAATCTTTTCGTATTTTTTTTATTGAAAAAAGTTTAATGACTATCTTTCAGGATTTGAACAGTATTACTAAAGAAAATATCATCAATAAAACTCCAAAACATTCTCTTAAATTATATAATTGTAAGTTTTAGAATGTTTTTATATAACTATTTAAATCTGTAGTTAAAATTGTAGTTAAAATGTAAATAAAATTGTAATTTTATTGAATATACAATGTTTTATGTACTGTATTAGCCTGAATATAAGTCAACTATCAATTCTGGAGTCTTTACTTTTCGATAAAAATTAGGACCTGAATAGAACAATATAAGTTGACCTTTTTTTCAATTTTATTTTCATATATAAAATTAGAAATTTACCTTAAAAAAATTTGGAAAGTCACTGAAGCAATACTTCATCACTTTCAAAATTATTATTTTCATTTCTGTTTGCTATTTCATTGCCATCATGATCTTTAGCTTCCTTGAACAGTACATCATTCTGTGCATTTTTACAAATTGCATTTAAATCATATCTGACTGATCAGAAAATTGTACTCAGAGTTTGTTTTAAAGAAAGGAATACATGCATTGGATATGTATATTATAAGTGATAAATTGTGACTTATTTCCTCTTTTTGCTAATATCAATAAAAATGAAATTAATAAAAGTTATAAGGCAAAATTGAGACAATATCTTATACACTAGATCAGTGTTTCTCAATGGGGGCAATATCACCCCCATTTGGGTGTTTTTCCATGTTGAGGGGGCAATTAGTAACAATTTATATTTTGGGGGCGAAAAACAATTTTCTGGGCGATATAGTAAAACATTATATTAAGAATAATTAGATATTTTATTCGTTATATCGTACAATAATTAAACAAATAACATTTTACTAGTCACTAGTCTATTTAATGCAGTACAAATTTGGCATTAGTCTTGGTCCTCGGCATTGGAATTTTGAAGTGAAGGGGGTGATAATAGGTAACGGTTTTATTGAAGGGGGGCGACGATTCGTTAGAGGTTGAGAAATACTGCACTAGATAATAAGCTGCCTAGCATATACTGTACATTAAACCAGGAAAAGTAGGCTTCTTTGCATGTTTCACATGTATTCTGGAAAGTATACTTGCAGTTTTATGGCAATTGGAATGAAAACAAAACTTTGTGTTTCATTTTTGCTTGTCCTATTTTTTTACAACTGTCTAGAACATTTTTTTTATAAAGTCTAAAACATATAATTGTATCAAATAAATAAATTTATAATAGAAAGATACACTTTACAACAGAATATTGGGTCATTGCAATTAAAATGGCCGTTTTTTAAAATTTAAATTTTCTGGCCTTGTAGTACAACTTTTTTCCATGTGAATAGTGCTGTATGTTTGCAATTGGAAGAGCACACACATAATATGTGAATTAAAAATGTAATCTCATTTTTATTGCAAGTTCCACATATTTAAGAGTACTTTTTCTGATAAAAAGGAAAAAAAAGGCAATTGAATCATTTTCTTTTATCAGTATAACCAGGGACATAATGCAGTTGAAGTGAGTAGGTCACCAGGCATTGGTTCAAAAAATTTCATTCTGGGAATACAAATCTCAAAAATCAGAATTGAAGAACATCATCCAATCAGAACATCACCTGACTGTCTGGGAAATCACAGAAAGGTTGAACATGCTGGACATTATTCAATCATTTCTCAACACCTAAACATGTTAGGGAAAGTCAAGAAGCTGCTAGACAAATGGTTACCACATGAACTCAGTGAGAGATATAAGGAGCATTATTTGGAGGTCTGCAGTTCTTTAATTATTTCTCACAATAATGAAAATATTTAAATAAAATTTTTCCCCATTCACCTTATTCTCTAGACTTTTTACCAACAGACTATCACTTTTTTATATATATTTAGTTTTTGGCAAGGAAAGTCTTTGAGGAGAATGCAATAAAAAAGTACCTTTAATGACATTTTGGCTTCCTGTGCTCGTGTTTCTATCAAATTGGCATTAAAGCATTTCTATTGCATTGGGGAAAGTGTATTAATGTTGGTGGAGACAATTTTGATTGAATTTGTAAATTTTAAATTAAGTTAATAAACATTGAAAGTCAGAAGTAAAAATTGGCCATTTCATTTGCAACAACCTAATACATTTTTTGGTAAATTTTCAACAATGTTCCTCCCAGTTTTGATGATTGCTTGATTAGTAGAGACTCCTAACAGTAAAATAAAACTTATATAGAAGTTACCAAAACTGACTGATTCTGTTGAATACAATTAAAACAATCAATTAATTGATTATTTACAATTATGCTAAAAACTTAATTCCCATGCATGGTCTACAGCATGCAGTATGTTATACAGTTACAGCATGACAGATCACAACTTGGCTAACATTTAGCATCAATAAACAGTTAATACATCAAATATTATATTATTATCAGAGTTTAACTTTGATGTGTACCACAGCCAGTTATTAAATCAAAGAAAACTTTAATCAGACTTGAATATAGATCAAGAACTTTTTTTGCTACTGTAAAACTGGAAAAAAATGTAGACTAATTCAGGCAAATATAGTATTATAAAATTTAAATTATGTGAACATTAAACTGTTCTTTTTATATGATATGCTTTATCTGAAAATTTGAACTTTTTGATTTTTTTTTTCATTTGATTATGACTTGACTAATTTTAATTATTTACATTGTAATAAAACAAAATGATAAAGATTTTTAAATTTACTTTTAATAATATAAATTTTTTCTCTGCTTTTAAAAATTTGAATTATTCTAGTTAATTGATATAGTCACATTTTAAGAAATAATATAGTTTTTGACATTTTAAGATTACTTTATCTTTAAATGAATTGAAAAGCTGTAAGGAATCTAGATTTAAATGATTTGAAATCCATGCTTTTTAATGAATTCAAAATTTAGACTTCGTATTTTATTTATATTGACAAGTCCTGTTGTAAGTTAGCTTGCAATTACTTAGAAAAAAATTATGACTTAAAAAATTATAAATATATCAGTTCTAAAACTAAGTTTAAATATCAAATCAAATATTCATAATTACAGAAAAAATCATTTATTGCAGTTAGTTAATATATGCCAATATAATGAAATGATATATGTATTTTATTAAAGGTTTAAGCCTTTTTCTTCTGTTGAAAACATAATGCAGGCTGTAATAAAAAAATATATATTGTTAATACAACATTATAATCTTCCAATTTTTTATTTTTGCATATATATTTTCAAAAAGTAATAAGTTATATTATAGAAAATACAAAATATATAAAGAAAGTATTAGCAGAAAAAAGAAAAAGAATAAACAGTATGTAAAACTGCAAAAGTATTATTTAGATATATTTATTAGTTTTAGACTAGTAGATGATTTTACTATTAAACCAAATTTCTAGTTATTTCTGTGAATCACTTCATTGTATCACAATTCTACTGTTAATAATTTTATAGTCTTATTGTTTTAAAGGTGAACAGGTTTTACTTAATTTTATTGTTTTATTGGTAAAACAGTTTGCTATATCATGGTTTTAAAAGATATGGTTTTAACAGTGTACTTTATTATGTATATTGTTTGCCTTTCACTGCTAATACTGCTTTATGTATCATACCATCATATCTAATCAAATACAGTTATACCTTGAGTTATGTCATTCTTCATTATACATTGTCAAAAAAATATATGGAAAAATAAAAATTAAGATTTAAGTCATTTTATATGACTTTGTCTGTCCACCACAAATATTGAAATCATAATATCACTAGAAAGGTGTTAAAAGCACATAAAATCATATTAAAATACAAACATTTACAGTAAATGTTAATATAATCATCATAAATCGTAGAGAACGAAATATGGAAACATCTGTGACTGTGTTGTAATTTTATTTAGCAGTCTTTAAGAGCTCAATATTGGCATTTTCCACGGTAGTTCCAATATCTACTGTTTGGCATCATTGTCAGTGCCACTTGTTATTGGTAAATTTAACATAAATTAGTTTTTTTTACTATCGCAAAATAATTTTAATAACTGTATTTGTTATTTAACCTTACAAAATCATCATCTTATTTTATAATGTCTTAGAGCAAATCACATTCACAAATAAAGAGTCTGTGATGTACTGTAAACATCACCAAATTGTAAACATATATATTTACAAGTATGTACGTACTGTACATGTATTCGAAAATTTAGATTAGTTTTTCCTGTACTATATTAAAAACTAAAATTTATTTGTTTGTAAAGCTTAAAATAGATTCTTATTAATCATATATTATTAAAAATGCATTTATAAATAAAATATAGAACTGGGAATGGTTATTTGTTGTTTAGCCTAGTGACAAGTAAATTCGACTTAAATCACCTCTCCTGGAACAAATTACCGACGTAAGGCGAGGTATACCTGTACCAGCGACAGTCCAAAACATTTTTTACTTATAAAGACAGTCTTTTATTTGAGGGATTTATTTGTTTATTGACTCTTTCTGCCCTGTCTTTTTTCAAGCATATTGTGGGTTTCACCAGACCCACAGTGGGGACATCAAATGGTGAGAGATTTAGCCTGACATTTGGGACAGACCATCTCCCAACAAATTCCTTGAATTTTTGACCACACAGCTTTGATTTCAGGTCCTTCAGAGTATAAGCTAACACTGTAATTGCTTCGTCCATCCCACCAGCTTAATAATTATATATTAAATTGTTATTAGTTTGAATTCCTTAAAAATTCTGATGTTGAAAAATTATCTTATTAATGNTCATATATTATTAAAAATGCATTTATAAATAAAATATAGAACTGGGAATGGTTATTTGTTGTTTAGCCTAGTGACAAGTAAATTCGACTTACGTCATTTTTCGACATAAGTCGCCTCTCCTGGAACTGATTACCAACATAAGGTGAGGTGTATCTGTAAACTAATAATTGTCATCTGTATTTATCAATTATCGCAATTTCTGTACTTCTCATAACTATTTACATCATAAAGAGTTGATGATGGACTCAAAGTCCAAAATTCATTCTCTTGGAAATAAAATGTGATTTTCTGAAGCTTGTACTGTTTATGAATGATGGTGTAATAAGTCTAGCAGAAAAGAAAATTACTTTCAATTTGTTTTACTATGAATTCTTTCATATTAGCAATTATTGTTAATATAAAATATTATTTTCAGCTGAAAAACAAAATGAACAAAATCCTTTAGAGAAAGATGAGATTTTATCCATTTTTCAAGAAAATGAGATTAAAAATACAGGTATTTAAAATTTATTTTAAAATTAAAGATACAAAAATATTTTGTATTTTTATTACTAAAAAGTCTTTAAATTGATATTTTATTTAGAATGAAAAGTTATTTTAAAATTTTAATTAATTAATTTTAAAAGAAAGAAAAACTCATAATATGTCTGAAATTTCTTCTCTTAGAAGTGTAAATAACTGTTTAATTTAAACTTACATAGATATATATTGTAAAAGTTATAAAAATGCAATGGTTGATTAACTTGAAAATATTCATTAAAATATCCTAACAAATTTGGATTTTGACAACTACTTCATACTATTAGGAAACTTGCCATCTTCTTAATACTGTTTACCATACCTTATTACAGTCATCATGACATTTTTCTCAAATTTTATTATGCATATATATATGCACAATAAAATTTGAGAAAAATATCTTGATGACTATTATAGTATGCAATTTATGTCTCATATGAGTATTTAAATAATTACAGTTATTGGCTTAATTATATACCAGGTAATACCACCAGACTATCTTAAAATTACTATGCTAGTATCTTATGAAAAGACTAAAACAAGCTCATTGTGTTTAAAATTTTCACTGTACCTGGTATTTGAAGATCTTTAAAGCCAGTATGATGCAGTCAAATACATTATACATAGCTGATAGATTTTGGGAAAGGCTGCATCATTGAGCTGAGGGAGTAGGATGTAAATTTTCCACCATCTGGCTTGTTCTGATCATAAAAAGGAATTTGGAGCAACAGATACATAAAGACACACACATACAATCAGTTGATTATCTCTCCTGATGATCTGGCTGGATACCATCAGAAGAGATGATCACCTATCATGAGACTAGCATGAAAAGCTGTAATGGTGTCTTTGTCTACCATTCAGAGACAGATGAAACTACAGAATCTGTCTCTTCCTACATCATTGGCAGGTAACCAGCAGAGGCAAATTTCCATGCAAGAACTGCTACACATTTTACAATCATTACATTGATGTCTTTGTTTGCAGTGGTGTTGTGACAGAGAAGCATGAATTACTATGGACTGACAGTGTATCATCATTAGTGACAAATCTTAGTTCTGTTTGGGAACAGATGCCACCGTATTAGAGTGTGGAGGATGACTGATTAGAACTTCAATTCTTGATTATTACGCCATAATTTTAACATTGTTTCCATCTCAGCGATAATACTGTGACGTTTACGAATGATGCTTGAATTTAAAGATTGAGCATTTTTCACATCTTTGAGAATTTTTTCTTTGCCTTTTATAATTGTTCTGACCGACAATTCCGGTAGATCAAACTTCTTTGCCAATTCACAAATTTTCATTTTTGTATCGAAGTCTTTAATAATGGGTACGTTTGTAAAGTCAAACGAGTTAAACGCGTTAGTAACGAATCGTTCGAAAAGTCTAACGAAATA